CTTAGTAATAGCGATAAAAGGAGTCGTGGAACAAATACAATTTTCTTACTAACTGATACTCTCTTTTCTGGTTCACCAGCAACAGAGTGTTGAATTCTCCATGATATATAATCTGTCCAGTAGGGAGTTCTGCCTCTTAAGGTTGGAGTACAGCTGAAGATCATTTGCCTGCCTGGAGCCACCATTGCTCACTTACAGATTTCTGATTCTCATAGCAAATAGACACATCTCTTAATTTAGCACAAACTTTTAAACCTAGAGTACATGAAATTCAGTTGTGCAAGTATGGGTTGGACAGGTTGCTTGATGTTGAAGGTTGTAATTCTTGTGTTGATATTTTCTAGTGAGTCTTGTTTCAGACAGTTTGAGAGGATGGGATTTCTTCTCATGGTCAGAAGTAGTGAGCTGCCCAAGTTCATCATTCCTCTCTTGGCAAAGTACTGGAGCTGGATGTGTCTCAGTGAAAAAGGCTGTAGCTAAACCAGAAGAAAAATGGGAAGCTCATGAAAGGTGCAGTATCCATGTTCTTAGCTGTCTTAGAGACAGTTTGTATTAATCCAGTGAATGGTTTTAATCCTGATTTGCAGAAATGTTAGTAATTTAACTTACTCTGTATGTAGTTGAACAGTGAACAGGTTTATAGTAAGCTTGGACCTGAAAGCTGTCAGTGGCTGTATCTTCCCTAAACCACACTTTGAAAGTAGCTTTTAGTATAAAGTATTTCCAGTTTCTACATTGGAGAGAGATGAGAAGAATGGAGTGTATTGCTGAATACTCCCTAAGCTGTGGTGGAGGTCTGTATGCACTTGTTTGCATTAAGTGGTTAGCTGGAAATTTTCATACATGCTTCATGTAGAGACTTGTCAAATACATAACTTCTGAATAATTTCACCATCCTATCTGCGCAGAATATTGCTGCCTTGGGAAACAAATTTATACAATGAGTGTCACTGCAAACACAGTGGTTGTTTTATGAGTATCAGGTATTTAGAGTTAATTCTAGCAATCAAATCCAAGGGTTAGTGTACTTTAAAAAAAGATGTTTGGATGCTTCCCCTGTGCTAGAAGATTATTGTATATTAAGAAATTTCTTGAAGCCTGTATGTTGCATAAATCACGCAGCTTGGTCTTCTAGAGTTGTAGTTCACTTAAGGTTGCAGGTCTGATTTGGCAGTCAAGACAGTACTCAGGAGTTTTTAATTTAGTTTAAAAAAAAAAAATCAAAACCATTGCATTTCATCTGAAGTCTTTTCTGAATGTGCAGTTGTACTCTGTGCTTATGTAGGCAGGCACTGAAGCCCATTATCTGCCCCGCAAAACCAGGTTAAGTAGCTCACCTTTGGGCTGTGTCACAGCTGGGAGTTCCACATTCCTGGGGTTGCACTTGAAGTCTGGCAAATTTATGTTGTTAACTGTTAATAAGTTAACTTTTGTACTCTCTAGAGATCAGAGTCAGTATGTATTTGTCTTCCTTGTCACTGCCCTTTCCACATAACAATCCTGTCAAGTGAGATCAGGGATTGCTATGACAAGATGCAAAGGGGGGAGGAAGCCGGAGCAGAATGGACTCTTGTAACTGAATGAAAAAGAGGGTTCTGATCTGCCTACTCATGCAATAATTGTGATAACTTTTTTTGTGCAAATACTCAAAGGCGCTCCTTATTGATGTTTGGAAGTCAAGGCCTAGATTCCTTCATGAGGGCAGCCCTTTTGTGGTTCACCGGCACTTTACATGAGGACCAGCAGGTCTACAGCTTGCCCAAGAGTTGCAGTGAGTTGGCTTCAGTGGAAAGGCATGCTGTGTATGGTTACCAGTGGCTCCAGTTTGAGTTCATGACTCACTAATGCACACTTATAAGCACTTTTAATTATATATACACCATATGCCTTGTTCACATACCTAAAATAATGTTTATATCAAGGATATGCCTAAGGGCATTATCTTGAAGCTGCTGAGTGGTTCTTTTTCTTTAGTCTTGCTTGAGCTTCTTGATTATTTTGCCTCAGTAAAGGTGGTAGAATCATACTGCTTGGGCAGCTCTGTCAGTCCCTACATTATTAGCTACTAAACCTGTTAATTAATCAAAATTTCACAGAGGTATTTGGAGTTTTTATTTACAGTAGTGTCATAGAATCATAGAATCACAGAATAGTTAGGGTTGGAAAGGACCTTAAGATCATCAAGTTCCAACACCCCTGCCATGGGCAGGGACACCTCACACTAAATCATCTCACCCAAGGCTTCGTCCAACCTGGCCTTGAACACTGCCAGGGATGGAGCATTCACAACCTCCCTGGGCAACCTATTCCAGTGCCTCACCACCCTAACAGGAAAGAATTTCCTTCTTATATCCGATCTAAACTTCCCCTGTTTAAGCTTTAACCTGTTACCCCTTCTCCTGTCACTACAGTCCCTAATGAACAGTCCCTCCCCAGCATCCTTATAGGCCCCCTTCAGATACTGGAAGGCTGCTATGAGGTCTCCACGCAGCCTTCTCTTCTCCAGGCTGAACAGCCCCAACTTTCTCAGCCTACCTTCATATGGGAGGTGCTCCAGTCCACTGATCATCCTTGTGGCCTTCCTCTGAACTTGTTCCAACAGTTCCATGACCTTTTTATGTTGAGGACACCAGAACTGCACTCAGTACTCCAAGTGAGGTCTCACAAGAGCAGAGTAGAGGGGCAGGATCACCTCCTTCGACCTGCTGGTCACGCTTCTCTTGATGGAGCCCCGGGTACGGTTGGCTTTCTGGGCTGCAAGTGCACACTGCTGGCTTATGTTCATTTTCTCATCGACCAGCACACCCAAGTCCTTCTCCACAGGGCTGCTCTGAATCTCTTCTCTGCCCACCCTGTAGCTGTGCCTGGGATTGCTCCGACCCAGGTGTAGGTCCTTGCACTTGACATGGTTAAACTTCATGAGGTTGGCATCAGCCCACCTCACAAGCGTGTCAAGGTCCCTCTGGATGGCATTCCTTCCCTCCAGCATATGAACAGCACCACACACCTTGGTGTCATCGGCAAACTTGCTGAGGGCGCACTCAGTCCCACTGTCCATGTCACCGACAAAGATGTTGAACAAGACCGGTCTGATTTGGAGAAAACTCTAGGAACATATTTACCAACAGAGTTTTCAAATTGACAAGCTGGTATTCTTTATTGTGGCACGGGGAGACACGGGGGATAACTCCTCCTAACGTGTGTCTCCCTTATTGCTACAGAAGCTACTGGGCATACATGCATATTCATGAGGTTACCTATGAATCACATTTATTTTCCAGAAAGTTTCCTGCATGCGTACAAAATTGTGGTGGCTGGTCTCTGAGTGTCGTTTACTTCTTCCAACAATCTTCATCACTTCTGGCAGCCTTTGAAGCACTTGCAGTAGATGCTCATACCAGCTTAATTGGTTTGGTAGCACAAGAGACATAATAATCCTCCTGTCCTCCTACTTATCAGTTAGTTTAACTGTAGCCCACCCTGGATACTTGCCATTCCCAGATACTCCTTATCCTTGCATCCTTTTCTTCTAGACTGTTTTTCTTAAAACTATGTCAACTATAACAGTTTATCTTGTACAAAAATTCTCAGTATGTTCTCTATCTGCACTCTATTTTTTTTCTATGTATCATGCACCCCACTAATTTTCCATTGCTGTTGTTACAAAGCCATCAAACTTAACATTACATAAAACTGATTCTAAAGGCTTATATATTCCATTTTGTAATTTTGTGCCACCACCTTGTCTCAGATCCCAACCCCGATCCCTGAGGGACACCACTCGTTACTGGTCTCCAGCTGGACACTGAGCCATTGACCGCAACGCTTTGCGTGCGGCCATCCAACCAGTTCTTTATCCACCGAGTGGTCCACCTATCAAATTGATGTCTCTCCAATTTAGAGACAAGGATGTCATGTGGGACAGTGTTGAATGCTTTGCACAAGTCCAGGTAGATGACATTAACTGCTCTACCCCTGTCCATCAGTTCCGTAGCCCCATCATAGAAGGCCACCAAATTGGTCAGACAGGGTTTCCCCTTAGTGAAGCCATACTGGCTGTCACCAAGTACCTTGTTGTTTATCATGTGCCTCCACATGCCTTCCAGGAGAATCTGCTCCAAGATTTTGCCAGGCACAGAGGTGAGACTGACTGGTCTGTAATTCCCTGGGTCATCCATTTTCCCCTTCTTGAAAATAGGTGTTAATTTTCCTTTTTTCCAGTCCTCAGAAACTTCACCTGACTGCCATGATGTCGTGGTTTAAGCATGGTGAGCCATAAATCACACAGTTGCTCTTTCACTCCCTGCCTTCTTGCCCTCCCCCTGCTCCGAGAGTGATGGGGAGGTGAATCAAAAGAATTCAAGTCCCACGGGTTGAGATAAGAACAGTTTAGTAACTAAGGTATAACACAAATCACTACTGCTGCCACCAATAATAATAATGATAAAGGAAATAACAAGGGAAGAAAATACAACACCTCACCACCCACCGACCTATAACTCAGCCCCCGCCCCCCCCAGACCGACCAAGCACTCCCTGATACCTAGTCCAACCTTGCAGTGCACTAGCACTTCCAGGTAACTCTCAGTTGCATCCTGGGCATGACGTGCTGTGGTATGATATACTTCTTTGGTCAGTTTGTGTCAGGTGTCCTGTCTCTGCTTTCTCCCAGCTTCCCGTCTTCCCTTACAGAGCATGAGGCTCAGAAAGTCCTTGGTCAAACTAAACATTTGAGCAGTAAATAAAAACATCGGTATTATCAGCACCATTCCCAGGCCAAAAGTCAAAAATCCAGCACTGCACCGGCTACTAAGAAGGAGGAAAAATGACTGCTACTGCTGAACCCAGGACAGTATCCATCCCTTACTCCATACCATTCACGTCATGCTCAGATCCGACATTTTCAATATACCATCGCTCTTACATATATACACCCACATACACACACAGGCAGAGAGAAAGATAATTTCTTAGTGCAGGGACCAGTCCCTATAAAGCTGCTGATTCCATCTGGTCCATGATGTCAGGATCCATCTCTTGTGACAGTCTTTCAGAGCAGGAGAGTCTGTGTGCATTGTTCACACTTGTGAATCACCTGGGCAAGTGTCCATTGCTAAGTCCACCTCTCGATCTTGAGTCGATCTATATGCTGCATCTCTCCCCTGATGGTCTGAAATGTCATGGGCCCACCAGGCTCAAAATAATTCACCCTCCCCTTCAGCAGTTTCTGCAACTTGTCACTGGGGCCTCCATACAGCTGCCTTCCATCTCTGACACTTCCAAAGCACTGTAGGGGCCCAGTGGACTAGATCCTCTCCCATGCTGTCCCACACACCCTGCCACTCATGACTGTCCATCCTCAGGGAAAATCTCTTGGTCCTCCTATATCGCCGTTTAACCCCAGACAAGACCAAAACCTGCCTCTGTTTAACTTTTGAGATCACACAAAATGGTCATGGGTAAAACACAGTCTGTATGTGTGCCAACATGCTGATCCCCATCACAATCTGCAGGCAGGTCCCAAGGGTACCCAAAGGCCATTCAAAACCTTCAGAACTCTCAAATGATTCTGCTGTACTTGTCACTGGGGCTGGTGTAGCTGCTGTGCTTGCCGGCTCTCTCACCACCAGTTTCTCTTTCTTTGAGTCCAGATCTTCCTCCTCTGCCTTGCTGGGAAATGCTGCGTGGTCTCCTACATCCTCCACTTGTCCTGGGTGCCTGAGACTGGACCCAGCTGAGCTTCCCAAAGGTGGTATCTTGGTCTCCACATCCTCCTGGGGCTCGGGCTCACAGGGCTCAGCGGGCGGCTGCCTGGAAATGCTCTGGGCTTGGCTGCGGGGCTCGGCTTTTCTGCCGCCTTCTCCCACTGTTTGGCAGCTGCCTCCTTCCGCTCCTTGACTGCCCCCCCCTCCTCCACCGGCAGCCACTCCCTGCCGGCCTCCAGCCCTACTCCCGCTGCCATTTGGTCCCTGGGAACGCTCTCCCGGGCTGCTTTGGCCAATGTTGGCTCCTGGGGCCGCTGCCCCTCAGCTCCCTGCAGCTTCACGAAGACGGAGGCGAGGATGAGGGCCAGGATGGTAAAGAGCAGCGGGATGGCCAGGTACAAGTCCACGGCCACGTCCATCCTGCCCTGCTGCCAGAGCCCGCCCGTATTGCAAGTCATTACCATAAAGTTCCAGAAGACAAGAACCTTAGCCCAAGCCCCACACTTGATAAACACTAACACAGCAAATACCGGCTGTAAGTAAGGTTCAACATTCTGAAACTTTAAGATGAAGAGAAACAACTTTGAGATCCAATAAATCACCATTGTGATGAGTGGCTGTTAATCCAGTCAGGTCTGTCGTTATCTCAACCCTTCAGGTTCTTAAGATTGCCTCAAACCAGGTCCTCTCCTACAGTAGGCCTAAGGTCTTCATTCTCACATTCCCTGCATCTGCCTTCCAAGACTTGGGTGGTGTGTTCAGAGCATTTGCCAGTGAAGACCGAGGCAAAGAAGTCATTAAGAACCTCAGCCTTCTCCAAATCCAGGGTAGCCAGTTCTGACAGTTTCTGGAGAGAGCCCACGTTGTCCCTAGTCTGTCTTTTGCCTGCAATGTGCCTATAGAATCCCTTCCTGTTATCTTTCACATGCCTTGCCAGGTTTAATTCTAACTGGGCCTTAGCATTCCTAACTTTGTCCCTAGCTTCCCAGACAACATCCCTGTATTCTTCCCAGGCCGCCTCTCCTTGCTTCCACCTTTTAGAAGCGTTTTTTTTCCCTTGAAGTTTCCTCAGCAGCTGCTTATCCTTCCAAGGAGGTCTCCTCCCTCTCCTGCTTTACTTCCTTCTAGTTGGGATGCAACACTCCTGAGCTTGGAGTAGGTGATCCTTGAATATCAACCAACAGTCTTGGGCCCCTCTGCCCTCTAGGGCTGTATCCCATGGAACCTTACTGAGCTGGTTCCTGAAGAGGCCAAAGTCTGCTCTCTTGAAGTCCAGGGCAATGAGCTTGCTGCACACTCTTCTCACTGTCCTGAGGATCTCAAATTCGACCATCTCATGATAGTTGCAACCAGGGCTACCCTGGAGCATCACATTTCCAACAAGCCCTTCCCTGTTGGTGAGCACGAGGTCAAGCATGGCACCTCTCCTTGTTGGCTCCTCTATTACTTACAAAAGGAATTTGTCTTCCACAGAATCGAGGAACCGTCTGGATTGCTTGTGCCTGGCCATACTGTCCCTCCAAGAGATATCAGGGTGGTTGAAGTACTCCATGAGGACAAGGAATCCTTGCTCCTTATGAATTCATCTTGCTTTTATTTATTCTTGTTTAAAGATTTGTTCTGAATATGTGTACTGGGCAATATAGTTCTCTTATTAAACACTAGAAAATGACCAGCTTTCTGCTAAAGTAAGGTTTGTCAATGAAGTACTTGATTTTTGAGTACTGTGAAGCCTGTTTGGTTTGGCTTTAGTGGGAGTTAGATGATATTTCTGTTTATAATGAATCAGAATCAAGCTACTCTGGAAAAATGAAAATTTTATGAATAATATGCTGGTAAATTCAGCCATGGCAAGGAGTTTGCCTCACTGTAATGCATTCCTCAGACAGATTCCTGATCTTGGATAATGCAATGTAGTTGTCAATATCTAATGTGAGACTATAAACTCATATTTAGTACTATTTGCCTTTTTTATGTCTCTTCAGAAGCACAAAAGGCAACACTGAGGCATGTGCATTCCTTGAGGGACTCTCTTGTATTGGCAGTTCATGTTTATGAGGTCCTGGAAGTGCCTGCTATAGCACATCAGTTTCTAATGGAGGTGAAATTAAGAACCATTACCTCAACAACTATGGAAGCAATAGCATGACTTTCTGTCAGTAATGGAAACAGCATAAGCAACTTGAGCTTTTATTTAAAATTCTATTAAATGAGCAAACCCAGTTTTTCTCAAATCTTTAGGTAATAGCTTAATGCAGCACATCTGGAAAAAATGTAGCAGAGTCAGAATAAAACTTTACCTGTTGGACCTAATGCTTAAACCTGCATTTATACTGAAAATACTTTATAAAGTGAGGGTGTGGGGGAAAGGGAATTTGAAATCTAAGGTCCTTTCCAACCCTAACTATTCTATGATTCTATGATAGAAAACATGTTAGGCAAGACTTTAAGAAAAAATGACGGTGAATATTAACTGCTGATTCTTCTCTCTTGGCAGTTCCTGCTGCAACCTGATGGCAAATAGCTCTCACTAGGACTGGACATTTCTATGTCTGCTGCTTGAAGATTAAGGGCTGTGTGAAACGTTCAGAAATGCTCAGCTGTTCATTTCATCTCTTTAGAACTTAGCACCCCTTATAATATCTGGAAGTGTCTGTTTAAATAACCCTTTTCACTGCCATGTTAAACAGAGGGATAGAGGAATTTAAAATAAATGGTTTGCTTATCCTTACAAACTGAATTGGACAAAAATCAAAACCCACTTTTAAGAGGAAAATAAGTGATTCATGTGTTCCTAGCAAACCATAATGTCCTTGCCCATTTTTTTACATGCTGTCACAAGTGTACTAATGACAAAATGGCAACTTTCTTGTGTATGGCATGCTTCATAAGCTTTTATAGCTGGTTAAGTTTTAGCTGGTAGATATTCCTTCCCTTCCTGTATCAGTTTATTGTTAAATCCCCCATTTTCCAGAGCATATTTTTCATTTTCACATACCTTTACATTTAGATTGTTTTTTTCCAAAAGGTGGTTCTTTGAGGGCGATAGGCTTAAAGTACAGTAATTGTATCAATAGCTGGAGTTTTTACAGGTAGTTGCATATACAAATTAGAAATGTTTACATCCCTCACAGATTTTTTGTGTGTGTGTCCATCTGAAAACTCATGAGAGCTTAAAGTAAATCTTGGGTTTCTTGCTTGACTTTTGATGTCAGCCTTAGAATTCTGATACTGTGGCTTTTCTCTGCAGGCACGGGAGGCTGTTTTCAAAAGAATCAGACTACAGTAAGGAAAAGATACCAGGCTTTGTAGGACTTGAGTTAACATTAGAGGAATTGGTGGTATTGGGAACTGGAAACAAATTCTGGTTTCAAGTAGGGCAGTAAGTCAAGGAGGAGATGCATTTTCCTTAGTACTGAGCACTGACAGGACATACTGGTCTGGTTTGGAGATGAGGAGGTGGGTGGAGAGGAAGGATGAGAACATGTTGGAAAAAAGAAAAAATAAAATATTGTTTACTTTGCCAGCAATTTTCTTTGCTTTCCCTACTACTACAGCAAGTATTTCTTTACTCTGCTTCCCTTCTTTCTAAACTGGAAGTGACCTGTCCTGGGTTCAGCGGTAGCAGTCATTTTTTCTCCTTCTTAGTAGCTGGTGCAGCACTGTGGTTTTGCCTTTCAGCCTGGGAACAGCACTGATAACACACCAGTGTTTTTAGTTGCTGCTCAGTAATGTTTCCTCTGACCAAGTACTTTGTGAGTCTCATGCTCTGCCAGGGAGGAGGGGAAGCTGGGAGGAAGCAGAGACAGGACACCTGAGCCAAACTAGTCAAAGAGGTATTCCATACCACAGCATGTCATGCCTAGGATGTAAACTGGAAGTTACGCGGAAGGGCTAGTTTACTGCTCGGTTGGGCTGGGTATTGGTCAGCAGGTGGTACTGTATTCTCTTCCCTTGTTATTTCCCTAATCATTATTATTATTGGTGGCAGCAGTAGTGATTTTGTGTTATACTTTAGTTACAGGACTGTTCTTATCTCAACCCATGGGAGTTACATTCTTTCGATTCTCTTCCCCATCCCTCTGGGGGGGAATGAGCGGGGACTGCGTGGCTGATTTACGACTGAGCTTAAACCACGACATGACCTTATTTAGTAAATGATAGGGCTTTATTTCCATGGAAGTGATCATTTCTCACATTCAGTATCTGGCACAAAGGAACAGATGGACTACAAAGTAGAAACAATGAATGTAATGATACTTATGGTAGTGAGAGAGATCTTTTGCAAATGGTAACTCATGAGTCTAACTGCAGGGCATGCAGTTAAAGGGGAGGACATTTTAATGAGTGTTCTCCTGCACTTTAACTACCATCTGATGCCAACCTTGATTCACAGATCAGAAGACCGTGGGTGATTTTATTATATTTTTTTAGACTGCAGATTCAAACTCTGAAGTAATTGGTGCTTTGTGTTCTCCAAGGATCACTGTGCCAGAGCTTCCGATTCTTGTGTTCTAGATATGACTGTGCTCAAGGTTTATTGTAGTGTCTTGTTTATGTATCCATCAAGCTGGGGTGGTTCTTGCTTCACATCAGGGCTGGATTAATGTTTGTATGGCTCTAAGGAAAAGCTCTGGTTTATGTCAAAATATTTGGGATTCTTCCAGATGGTGGTCAGAAAGGTTCTTTGGACACTCTTTTTAGACAGAAACAAGTTCTTCTCCTTTGTTTTGTTTAAATAGTTAGATATTATTTCTTAAATTATATGTGCCTTCACTAACCTGTATCTCCTTTTGCTAATAACCAGATATTGAGTTGATTATAAATAGAATCAAAATAAAGAAAAAAATATGCTGAGGAAAGTCAAAGCAGTGAAATTTTGTTTATGTATTAAATTTTATTTGGGGTTGTTTGAAGAAAGATGGGTTCTGTTTCATGCAGGCTTCATGTGGTTTTCATACGCTGCATCTGTTGAAAATGCAAGAGCAGAGACAGATGTTGAGACCTGGATTAAGAGATTTGACAGCTGTATGGTAATGAAAGCATCTAGAGTTGTTCATGGGTTGATGCTAAGAAGTTGAGACTAAAATCTCATTTGCAGATTGTAGGTAGTGGAAACTGGGAGAAGTTTAAGGGGTCATGCTGCCCCAAACCTGTGTGGAGCAGGGTATCTTAAGCATTTGATGCTAGTGCCATCAGATGCATTCCTTCAATGGAGGAGCTGTGGCTCTAGTCCATATGGTGTATCTGTTACTGTGTGCCACACAAGTACAGGAGGAGACATATAGTCAACTTTAGCATTGATGAGGTGCTGTCAGATTTTATTTGTAATTTAATGTTCTCTTGCTCTTTTATGCTGGAAAGTCATATGCTGTAATCATGCAATACATTTGTTTTGATTAAAATGATTTTTTTTCTCAGGTGCTAAGCTAAAAGGTTAATGTTTCATTTGCTTTCTGACTTGTTCTTTTATGTCCCTGGGGAGAAAAAAAGAAAAAAAAAGGCAGTAGAC